TGTTTACCCAAATTTTACAGTATATTTATTTTTTCCCGACAGTCTAAAGGTTAAAATTAGATTTTTCTACCTTTTTTGTATTATTTAAATTTTCGATGGGTGGTTTCACCTTTCACCGAAGGTGCATCCATTTCGTGGTACTTCATCGGGAGTTAGAGATATTATGTGTATATTCCTAATGTGCATTTTCTAAATCAACTGGAACTTTATCTGAATTGATGTCATCTTTGTATGAGTAAATTCTTTTTCCTATTTTCTTGATGAAAATTTAAGCATCCAATTCCTTGTTGGTGAACAAAATCCTTTTTTTATTAGCACAAAATCGGAAAACGTTTGTAGACAAGTCGTATACAAGTATATTACGAGAGCGTTAAAATATACACCCAATCCAGCACATTCGTTAAACATTTCTCTAATCATGAAAAAACGTGTATAGATCTAATCTATTAGGGTTAGGATTGAACATTGCTCACGTTTATTTTGGTCAACAAGCGCTTATTTGTGTTCACGTTTTTGCTGCCCTACCTCGAGGCTGTGTTCCAAATTTACTGTCAATATTGAAAATGCTACAGTTTACGTTACGTGCACTATAGATTTTCAGTACTGGCAGTCAATTTTGGAACACAGCCGAAATAAGCATTTGTGAGTACGAGTATGACGTCACGGATTACGTCATGAACGCATCTCTGAGCGCTTACACCGCCAAAGCGAACAACGTGAGCAATGCTTATAAGCGTTTAAAGCGTAAGCGTGCAAACCGAACGCAGCCATTGTGTTTCCAGCTTTAGTGGAAAGAAGCGCCCTCGTCCCGGCCTCGCCTGCCTCTGCCCTCGTTTGCCCACGCTCTCGCCGCTCGCGCTCGCCCAATGCAACCAATGCAACTATGCAACTCGCGAAGCTGAAATAGTCGTTAAATATTGTTAATTGTTATCAGTAATCAGTATTTGAGTATTGTATTGCCTAATCTTGTCGCTTGTCAGACGTGTTTGTCGTGTTTAGTTTGGTGGCAGGTGGCTTTCTTCGTCAGCGGTCAGAACGGCTGAACGCTGAGCTGAGCGACGAAACTAATTCGTTCCGAAACAGAAGACAAATCGACATACACGATCACGTACGGTACTTACTGTACGGTACGCGGTACGTGGCTCCTCCATTTGCCATGTCGAACGTAAATTGTTACAAGTCTATCAATATGCGATGGAAGACGCAGCTTGCTTGGCAGCTGTTACGCCGCCGTTAACCACATTTATCACATTATCCATAAGAAACCCGTCATTGGAGGGTCTGATCCGTCAAGATAAACAAAGATCGACAAATACTCTACCGTCAAAGTCGAAATTTTACACTATCTATCTAACGTCATGGACCGTACCTGCCTTCATCAAGTCATCACAGCACCCATAAAAAATTTCCTGCAACTGCAACGGATCAAAGAGTAAGATGTGAATACAGATCATTATATTATAGACTGCGCAATTCAATAAATTTTGTAGATATGCGAGAATGTTTTAAAATGTCATTTTGACGAGCGGCCTGTATAAATACAGTCAATATGTGTTTATTTCTATATAATTTTTCAAATTTAACTCGAGTCAATATAAAAGAATTAAGTCTCTTAATTTTCCCTAATGTTTGCTAACTCATTATCTTAGAATGTCTTAGATAATCCTGCTCTGATTTAATCTTTATTTTTATAGTTTTGCATTTTTGCATCCTTGGAATTCAGCTGGACGTTTGGCATGTAGCATCTATTTATATGCAAAGTAATTTATATCCATGCATGAATTGATGAGTAAATGTATTATCAAACAATCGGTTATATATTAGATATTGATTGGGCATCTTGTATATGAGAGATCTGACAATTGGTTAGATGATGTGTAGTTATTGTAATATTAAGTATTAATCAAAGTTGTGAGCACGATACTTTATTACTAAGTTTTGCCAAGTCTCAGTTACAGTACGGTTAATAAACGGTAGCTGATAAATGTTTTGTCACAGCTATACTAGTTGAGAATTGAATTCTTTATTACTGTATAAGATGGATGCGTTTACAAAAAGAAATAACAAGTTATATTTTACAATACGTTAAAGAAAAACATCAGATGCAATTCAATATTATCTAATTGTATGTATTGTACATTAAGTATTATCTAATCAAACAATTCCATTCAGTCTTCTATTAATCTTGCAATCATTGTGTTACTTGAGCTCAAAAGTGATTATGCATGTAGCAAAACCTTAAGACAGTGTACAAATTTTAACGGAATGCACTAGCACCGCTTGTAGGATAATACAAGATCAAAGTATCTTCAAGCAATGTACCTTATGGACCATTCTACCGATATGGACACATGAAAAGAAATTCTATGCTGTAGCGTGGATTACACTTTCCTCTTCTTAAAGTAGTTGACAAGCAAGTATCTTACAGTTGTGATATAATGAGATATATATATATATATATACATACATATACATATATATATATCATATGTATTGTAATATGCATACCTATATGCTTTTCCATAATGTGCATGTACTTTGACAATAACGCTTAGGAGATTTAAAATAAGCTTTATGTCCCCTTCCCTCTCCTCCCATACACACACACACACATGTACACATGCACACACACAAATGTATTGTAGTATAATCATTTAATCTTAAATTTCTTATGCCTTTAATCTATTATTGCACTACATATACTATGTACTTACATATTTAAATCTAATGTATCGCAAATGTAGGTGACTTGGGGCAGTACAAGTAACTTGGGACAGCATTATATTTTGTTAAATTCAGTCATGGTATCCATCCATGTCACTAAAGAGTCACTAAAGAAAATTTAAAATTTAAACTTTCTTTACAGACTCATAGATGGATATCACGGATTAAATTTAATAAAAATATACGCTGTCACCTAGATTTATGGTAGGATACTATAACGAATATTGCAGAATTCCCTAACTTCATTATCTGCTTTGTATGAACTCGACTAAATTTCCTTTTATATAATCTTCACTAATCTTTCATTTTATATAACAACTGGGCATGTTTTTTCATGTAACAGTTTTCTATCGCGTTAATGCTGACCAGTCAAATATATTGTGTACAAATGTGATAAAACAAATTGTTATGGAGCATTATTTTAACGATATTTTATCGATGTCTTTCATAGTACTTTGTAACTGTACAACATAATTGCATTATATTAAAAAGAATATGTAATTCTATTATTTTTTTATCTCATTATTTTTCTCAATATAATTTAAATGCAATTTTATGAAATTTAATTTAGTAAACTTTACAATTAAGAAAGCAAGTGGAAGAAAAGGACAAAATATGCAATTGTGAATTGGCTTGCAGGATAAAGTGGATGAATCCAAGAGCATGCACAAATGAGGCATATACTCCTACATCCATCGAACATATGGCAAATGTGGCAACTCACGGAATATGGGTTGTACCTTCGGTAATTGGCGGTATCGAACTTATACGCCGTTCGTCAACATGGGCTCAGTTTGTTTCAGCTTGCATATACGGCACTTCCTTGATCCTTGTCTTTGCAGTATCGACTTTCTTCCACAGTGTGCACTATTGCAATCATAACAGGTATAATTATTTAATCATAGTTTTTTATCCGTTAATTCTTATTTCTTTCTAATTCTTTGAGACACGTAAGATGGAACAAAATATTCATCGCGCATAATATTTTAGACAACTAAAAGATGCGTTGCATCGTTGCGATCGTGCTATGATTTACATCTTCATAGCAGCCAGTTATTTTCCATGGTTAAATATAGAACACTTCTCAGACGATGAGCTTTTGTTCGCGATGCGATATGTCGTCTGGATCATGGCTATAATGGGTATCCTCTATCAGCAGATCTTTCACGAGAGATACAAGATGCTCGAAACTATTTTCTATGTGGTTATGGGTATTGGACCTAGCGTCGCGATCCTTAATGTTGTAAGTAAAATAATATTGTATTCAGATTGCTCATAATTGTTTGAATTTCATTTTAGAAGAGAATGAACACGAGAAACTTTGCTCAAGCAAAATATATTTTATATACCATATAATTTCATATGATTCAAAATAATTTTATCTTCGTAATATCTCGATTAATTTACGATAAATATTTTTACAGTATAATTATTACAATATTACGGAATTGAAACTGGGTGGACTGATGTATGTTCTTGGCTTAGTATTTTTCAAATCGGATGGTCGTATACCTTGCGCGCACGCAATTTGGCATCTTTTCGTAGCTGCAGCGGCTGGATTTCATTATTACGCGATTCTGAACCATGTATTTCCTGAAACAGACTCGACAAATATTCTTGGACCATCTGCCGGCAGCATGCCACAATTATCTAATATACTAAAGCCTCATATAGAATTGTAAGTTGTATATACTGTTTTCTACAGTGTTTCTTCCAAATGTTAAATATTCTAAAATGTAGCAGTTTTATAAAGGGTAAATATTTTACGGTAGAGAGATATCTTTAATTTATGCCTATATTATATATGTGTATTTTCAGACTTTTTGATAAGAACAAATTTATTTTTTAATCGTGATTTGCGTATGTGCTGGTCGGCTAGACGTCTTCTCGTAATTATTTCAAATGTCTCTTTCAATAAATAGAAATCGTGTATATATAATGTATAAACGCAATAAACGCTATGAAAAAGCATAGTGAATTAAATGGTATGTATTAAAACAAAAGAAAAAGGAAGATTTTTAAGTACCTGACGGCCATATAAGACTTCATTCATATATTATGAATGTGTTACATATTAAAAATAAGACAAAAAATATGATATTACATTAACAGATATTAATATAATGCAGTTATATTGCTAATTACATGACGAGTTCGAATATACATCTATAGCGAATATTGTATCATTCATATTCGATTTAGTATCAGATTTAATGTTTCGACATCATTCGTGAACAATTATTAAGTAAGAAAGAAATTTTACCATGCCTGTACTTTTCCAAATACAGATAGAATATTTTTAGGAAAAACGTTATTTTGTTTTATACTATATAAGTTTGATAAAAGTAAACTTCTATATTAGAATCTTTACAAAGTATAAATGCCAAGTTTTACCTTAGCGATGAATGGAAATCAAGTTGACTGAATACATATGTTTACTTTCTGTTAGAATTGTCTTTCTATTTGCAGATATATTGTGCCAAAATTAAATTAAACTCGCATATGTCCTATCTTAGGATATTTCCAATGAATTATTGACATTTTTTGAAGGAACAACAAGTGAATGTATTATTTGGATCATACTTGTTTCGCTAACATTTTGTTGGTAGGTAGTCAAAAAAAAAAAAAAGAAAAATGTTATATAGTATACTTCACTGAAATTATAGTGTTTTTTTAAACATAGTATGTTGAGCAATGGCCTTATTTGTATTATTATTAGGTATGATATATAATTGAATGAAATTATATAAGTTTATATAACAACTATGGTACTTGTTGTAACAGTTGAATTATGATATGTTTATATCGAAACGATCTAATTTGTACTTCCATATACATATATGTGTATCAATTATATGAAATTATATTGAAATTAATATATATAGTAATAGACAATATTTGTATGTATACGTACGTATAGCGTGTGTATCCCACGCACGCACGCACGCACGCACGCACGCACGCACGCATGCGCGCGCGCACGCATACACACGTATGTAAACGAACAAAATTTTCCTCTGAAAGTTTGCTCACAAACGCTTTATTTAAGAGACATTGACCTCTGAAGTTATCGAACTATGGGAATGAATAATATCGAAATATCTCTTATTTTGTTTTGCTCTCTGAAGAAAAAGGTGTATCAAGTGTCCGCTAATGAACTTCAGTCATTAAAACGGAAGATAATGGATACGAAGAAATTACGCACAATGTCCGTCATTCATTTTGTCTTTGATAGAAGAGACACAATGCTTGTCTCTTAGGTTTGAAGCCATCATTTTGAACAAAATATTTATTAATTACATTTTGATTATTATAAGGCAATAAAGGGGCTTGTGTAACTTAAGAAATCAATATCTCTTAAACGAAATGTTTGTAAACTTCCAGAGGAAATTTTTATTTGTTTTGAGATCTTAAATTCATTTTTTAAGATTGACAGTTTAACTCGGGAACACTTCGCGCGCGTGCACACACACACGTACGTACGTAGGTATGTATATAAAATGTACAGTATTGACAATGTGAAATATTACGAAAGTCTTGATGTAGTAAGAATATTGATTTGTAATGTATATATGTGCCGTGATATCACAAGGAGCAAAGTACAAAATGATTATCAGTTACAAGTTATTCGCTGTCTATTTTTGTTGTTGTATACTTCGTGGACCAAAGTATCGTGGAGTAATATGTAACATTGTTGTTATTCAGATATATATATATGTATATATACTTGACAAAATTATACATATATATATATATACATATACATATATACTTCTTGACAATGAGTGTAATACTTAATTAGAAATAAAACATTATATATTGATCAAAAATTGCTTCTTAGCAAACCTGACCTGTTATCATAGTAGAAATAGTAACAGTTGTGCGCGCGCACGTATTATACAATCATTATACTTAGTATAATATAAAATTGCATATAGGGGCGCGTCTATTCTATTCAGAAGAGTTTCCATAGTGATAGCAGCAAACAAAACGAGAATCGAACGAGCTGACAATGGATAAGAATTTCTGACCGATTATCATCGGTCTTAAACAATTAGTTGAGCAATCTGAAATATGTGCAATGTATAATAATGAAAATTAATATGTGTATGTTTTTGAAAAATGAAAAAAATTGCAATTGACATTTTTTCGATAAAGTAATAAGTAGATTACCTGTGTGTTCAGTTTGGCGAGTCATTATTATTATCATAAAAGTGACGTATACGACGATATCAGTGGTGAAACAAGAAAATAAGTATGGATAATGTTATGTATGATAAGATGGAGAATAAAACTGCATCCTTGGCCAGTGAGCATAAAATGCCATCGTGGTTGGTGGAGATGACAGAGTATGTAGCATTATTTCGTACATTATTACTTTTCACCTTTTTGAGAATAAATATGACATCGTTTTCCACTTTTTTTTATTTTCACTTTTTTTATCCTTTATATCAGCAATGTAGAGAAGATTAATACAAGTAATGATGCCAAATCACTAAAAATGGAAACATTTGTTTTAATCGATGATCAGCGTCATTTTAAAAATATCACCATCAAGAAGGAAGATGAAGATACGTAAGAATCTATGTATATTTTTTGGTAATAGCTCATTTTTTCAAGAGTATATGATATAGCATTAAAGCGACATTTTGCTTTGACATTTTTATAGAAACAATCAACCTAATAGCTATCAATCAAACTTAAGCCATCTTTATATCAATGCTAATATTAAATTACAAACACCCACGAGCAAATCACTGCCAAATACACCAAAGAGCGAACAAGTACAAGTTAAACGAAGAACACGCGCTTGTTCTGCCGTTGTGAATGTAAAGCATCATACGAAGAATGATTTTCATGGTTTGGACGCATATTTGGAAAGAAAACAGATCGAAAAAGGTGGAATGTATTTGACATTCGGAAATTATAGCGACGATAAAACTGGCGATGAGGATCAATCTTACCTTGAACATCGAATATCAAATGTCCTGAATCGTGCAGATACACGATTACATTTGTCAGATAACAATTATCTTAACGATTCCACATTTAGTACACAGAACAAAGGAAATCCGAAATTATTATCTGGTCAATATCAAGAAATCTTCAAATCTCTTTATTTAAAAATAATTTTGTTAAATCATTTGTTATTTTCTTCCAGCTTTTTTGAACAGCTGGTTGATGTCCTGCACCTTGTTAAAAGCTTACACATAAAATCTTACACATGTGATAGATACATAGAATATTAACGCGTTGTATGCCGAGCTTTCGCGCCTTATAATTCTTTCTGTACACTAAAGAAAAGGAATTCTCATTAGCATAAGCATATACATATAATGATGAAATATTGTTTAATACGAATAAGTAGATAGTAGGATATATATCCTGGCCGGTATATCCTCAATGAGAGAGTATTGTGTTGAATAGCGCATTTTTTATTATACTTTACATTTATTTTTCAATTTATTTTTTTTGCATTATTTAAAATTTTATATTGGATAATATCTTTACTTTTTACAAGATTTACATTAAAGCTTTAAAAGATTTCGATAAATTTCGGCCGGTCAGTACAGTAATATGACTAGCATGGCAATCACTTGTTGCATTCTTCTGCATCTTTGTAATATGCAAATACGAATTAAATATAATTTAGTTTATATATTATTTTTAGATAAACTATACAGAAATTTTATTATTCCTGAACTACCATCTGGAGACTCGCTGGTCATTGATATTATTTCTACCTGGGGCGACAAACATTACGTAGGCCTCAATGGTATTGAAATTTTTTCAAATACCGGAGAACCAGCGAGAATAAAAGAGATACGTGCACATACGACAAGCGTTAATCAATCACTGAACAATGATCATAATCCTTATACAATAAATAATTTAATTAATGGTATTAATCGAACGAGAGATGATGCAAATTTATGGCTAACACCTTATTCAAATGGTGACCATCATTATGTTTACATGATATTTGAATTCACGATTACTATAGCAATGATCAGAATATGGGTAGGATTTCTCATCTATTTTACGACAATCATAAAAAAATTATTTATAAACTATATATATGTACATACATATAGAAGTACAAGTATGTGCAGCGCGCGTGTGCGCCGCGGCGGGTGTAAAAATAGACTTGAACTGAAATTACTTTTTTTTCTTCTTTCAGAATTACAATAAATCCAGAATATATTCCTTTCGAGGAGCCAAAGATGTTATTATTAAATTGAACGATATTATTATTTTTTACGGAGAAATCGCTAAAGCTTCCGGGGATGATATGGGTAGCCTTGATTCTTTTGGAGATGTAAGAAGTCTTATAAAAGCTTTCTATTATAGAAACATTAACGACACATAGAGTGTGTGTGATCTATTATACATATAATATAAATTAATTACGCTTAATTATTCTTAAAACACACACACACACACACAATGTAATAAATTCAAATGAAATCAATTTTATACGTAATGCACAAAAATATTGACTGATGTAGACTATATTATTTACGACGGACGAAAATATTCTGGAATTGATATCAAAACATGATAATACGTTCATAGAATTCAATAATAGGACGTCAGATTGTGAAGAGAAAGAAATAATTCGCCCAATAACGGCAACGATGACCAATGACCAAGTGAGAGAGCTAATTATTGCATCGATATTTTCATTTAATAACGATATCATATGTATGTAACACACCGCACGTGTTAATAAGATATATAATGGTAATCTCTTCCTAGATTGTTTCTGCGAGACGTAATAATAGCGACGATTCTATTGAAAATTCTCCTAACGCGTATACCAATAGCAAAATTCACAATACCGCTCTTACCCCTCTATCTTGCCGAGAGATTCAGTTAATTATCCTTTCTAATTGGGGTTTACAGCATTTGGTTGGTAGGTATAAGTATAGGTATAGCGTAAATCACGTAAATTATCGACACAAGTCAAACTGTAGCATTATATAATGTATAATCTACTGCGACATGTATTCGAATCTTTCTTTCGGGTTTTTTTTGTAGGCCTCACCGGCATAGAATTAATCGGGGATCAAGGTGTAGCAGTCCCGTTAGCAAGTGCCAATTTGCATTGTAACGTGGCTGATACGCATTTAATGAGACTAATTGACGGGCACAATGTTACAACCGAAATGGATTACATGTGGCTAACGGATT